AGTAGTAGTAGTACCAGTAGCAGTAGTAGTCGTCGTACCAGTAGTAGTACCAGTAGTAGCAGTAGTAGTGGTAGTCGTAGTAGTAGTAGTAGTAGTAGTAGTAGTAGTAGTAGTAGTAGAAATAGTGGTAGTAGTAGCGGTAGCAGTAGCAGTAGCATTAGCACTAGCAGTAGTGGTGGTAGAAGTAGCAGTAGTCTCAGTGTTAGTGGTAGTAGTATAGTACTAGTAGTAGGAAGAGGAACAGGAGAAGTAGAAGGAGTAGGAGTCGGAGTCGCAGTAAGTAGTAGCAGCTGTAGTAGGTGGCAGTCGTTGTCGTAGTGCTCGTACAAGAACTAGTCCTAGCACTGGCAGTAGCACGCGTGCTAAGAGTAGTAGTAATAGTAGTAGTAGTAGTAGTAGTAGTAGTAGGCGCTGTAGTAGTAGTAGTTGTAGTAGTAGTAGTAGTAGTAGTAGTAGGTAGTAGTAGTAGTAGTAGTAGTAGTAGTAGTAGTGGTAGTAGTGGTAGTAGCCGTAGCAGTAGTAGTGGTAGTAGTAGTAGTAGCAGCAACAGCAGCAGCAGTAGTGCTAGTAGGAGTAGTAGTAGTAGTAGTAGTAGTAGTAGTTGTAGTAATAGTAGTAGTAGTAGTAGTAGTAGTAGTAGTACGAGTAGTAGTAGTGGTAGGAGTAGCAGTAGTAGCAGTAGTAGGAGTAGCAGTAGTAGTAGCAGTAGCAGTAGCAGTAGCAGTAGTAGTAGTAGTAGTAGTAGTAGTAGTCGTAGTAGTAGGCGCACGGTCCATATTTGACGCTGCGTGTTGGTGGTAATCCGGAAGCGTTTTCCTTGTTTGTTATAGTGATTTCAGTAAACGAGAGCCAGGCGTGAGGAGGGGAGGATTTTGAAGGTTTGCTGAGTTTATATAGTGTGTGACAGAAGCTGCCAATATCATCATCAATACTATCATCATCATCACCAGCGTCATCATCATCGTCATCGCCATCGTCATCATAATAATCATCATCAACAGCACCAAGAACAGAAAACTGTGAAGCACTTCATTTCTGCATCCGGTGTGCCGGTGCGTAACCGCGCGTAGGAGGTGCCCACTCAGTTTGGAATCAGGCGCTTTTTCCCCTGCACTGCCCGCAATGCAAAAGAAGACAAGGACTTTGAAACCTGTATGTAACATGCGGAACTGCTGTAGTGACGAAATGCCTTGCGATCTGTACCATAGCTACTCCTGGGGCCGACAGCCAAGTCCTGAAACTCTACACTGCCTGCTCCAACACAGGACGTTCACGTACTTGTGGCGTTTCGGGCACGTGGCTTGGAGTTCTGACGCCCAGGCTTCTGGCACGCAGAACACAAGTGCACCTGCTTGCCACCATTTTGCAGCTACGCACCAGAGGACGACGCATGCGTGCTGGAACACGACATGCTCCGGAGACATGTCATGTTCAAGGTCGTCATCATGCACCCCCCCACACTGCTGCACGCAAGAAAAGCAGGAAGACCTACCCTCGAGACTTTCGGCATAATACGTTCAATGCCTTGAACCCAGGAAAACCATGGCATCAACTAGGGAACCGCTCCCTGGTAGTAGTCGTAGTAAGTAGTAGTAGT